CATACGGATAAATGTAGAGCGAGTCATCCCCAAACTGATGAGCAAAAGCGTTCCCTCAAATGCAAGGCTGTAAGGCACAACCTGGTAGGACCCTGGGGGAGACTTGAAGTCAATAAGGCAATTAACTTTCTAATCAAAAGATGCACAGTGAAAGTTAAAAAAAAAAAAAGAGGTGGGCTGAGGATGAGGCTCAGTGATGGAGTACTTGCCTAGTGTACACAAAGCCCTGGGTTTGATTCCCAATGCTGAAATGAGGAGAAAAAAACCAAACCAATATGTATGGTGTTTATAAGTGCAGTACTAGGAAGGCCAAGGAGCAAGGATGGTGGGTTTGAGGTCAGCATGGGCTACACAATGAGACTATGTCTCAAAAATAACAACAAACCAATAAGCAAAACACCCAGACTCAAACAGAAGAAACAACATGACCATGAGCAGAGGACCCAGGGTGAGAGTGGCCATTCTAAATGTCGGATGGGGAGAAGCAGGGATTAGGAAAGGCAGGCCAGTAAACTAGCATTCAGTTATTGTAGCCCTGGCTTTTATGTTGGTGGGAGGGTTTATGGGTCTTTTTATGTTATTGGAAATAAGTAAATGAGAACAATGAATGAAAATAGGTCATGTATGGATCCAAAGTGAAAACCAGTTATGGACCAAAGAAAATGAATAATCCAATTTTGCGCAACCGAAGCCTACGGATAAAAAGAACTAGGCAAAGAAAAGATAATTGTGGTGTCCATATGTTATCTTTATAATTTCTCTTAAGCTATTAATTAATTATTTCATGGCATTCTAAGTCTTTGAGGGTTTTGTTAATATGTTACATGTTGAGACAGTCACTTCGCCACAGGTAGAAATGAACTGTCCTTAATTTGCTTCATATCTGAGTTAAGCTACTGATGCAAATTCATGGGTCACAGCCTTGATTTATAGAGAGCAACAATACCTGGCTTACCATTCTAAAACTAGACTAAACTTGGGCTTCCTGTGTGTGGCTTACAGTATTAGACTGATATACTCAAATTGCTTTAGTTTCAGTTATGAAATAATTAAAAACAGGCTTTTCAGCCCCTTCAATGTTTTTATTAGTATAAGGAGATAATGTGTCTAAGATGTTCTGAAACAGGATTAGAAAGCGAGAGGTGAGGTCTGAACAGCAACAGATCTGCCTGTTAGAGTTGTACATTTAAGAGCTGGCTGTTGCTTACTGTGTGGTGAAATAAGAACCTGGGGCCTATGCAGGATTGCTTGGCTTGGCCTGGGAGGAGGGAACTGGACCTACCTGGACTGAGTCTACCAGGTTGATCTCAGTCTGTGGGGAAGGCTTTGCCCTGGAGGAGATGGGATTGGGGGGGGGGGGGGGACTGGGGGGAAGGTGAGAGGGACGGGAGGGGGGAGAACAAGGGAATCTGTGGCTGATATGTAGAACTGAATTGTATTGCAAAATAAAAAATAAAAAAAAAAGAACCCACATTCCACAATCCACCCTAGAGATCACAGCTTGCTTAGAAATATGAATGCACACAAGGCGAATCTGGCAAGAAATTAACATTTGGGGGATCTAGGTAAAGGGAATATGGGAACTTTAGGTGATGGGGATGTGGGGACTGTAGGCACTAGTTTTGAAGCTTTTGTATAAGTCTGAAATCATTTTGGTATAACAGGGTATAAGTAATCATTGAGATGAACTGTTATGACAAGCATTGTCATTCTGAGGGAGCAAACTGGGCAGTTCATTTGAGAGGGTTAGATTTTCTCACTTCAGTTTGAATACAAGTTAGCAAAGTACGTTTGTTGGTGGTGGTGATTTTTTAAAGGTACATTAGGGGAAATGATTTATCCCCTGTGGTGGTTTGAATGACATGTCCCCCATAGTCTGGGGGCATTTGAATGCTTGGTCCCCAGGTGGTGATGATGTATGGGGAGGCTTAGGAAGTGAGACATTGTTGGAAGAGGTGTGTCACTGGAGACTGGAGGCGGGATTTGAGAGTTTGCAGAATTGCTCCATTTTGAGTTCGCTCTCTGCTTCATGCTTGCCGTTCAAGATGTGAACCATCAGCTTCAGCTGCCATACCTTCTGGTTGCTGCCATGCTCATCCCTCTGGAACTGCAAGTGAACCCTTCCTTCTATAAGGTGCCTTGGTCATGGAGTTTTACCACAGCAGTAGAAAAGTAACTAATGTATTCCCTTTAAATAACAGAACTGAGACCTCTCTTGCAAGAATAAAAAGATGAATTACCTTCTGTATCTATTCAGTTACTCTGAATGAAAAGATGTGCGATCTTGATTTTGTTCTCTGTGAAAGTGGTTCTCCGTCAACATATGAAACATTTTATTCAAAAATAGAGGAAAGAAACTTGCAATTAACTTTCAGCAAAGAAGTAGCATTTCTCTTATGAACAATTCTAATGAGGAAGAAAGTGTGGAACTTCATAGTCTCAATTCTGTTGAAGTTATGAATCATCACAGCTTTACTAACAATTACATTGTATTTTAGGAGTGCTTTCCAGTGTTCTCCTGGGCCAGGCCAATTGGTGAAATTTGATGCTTCTTTTCTTTTACCCATGAAAACCTTGAAAAGTGGATTCATATCTCAGCAGAATGATATCTCTCCTTCTTTCATTTCTGTTTCTTCATAGTGAAATTTTAGAGAGGATTCAAGAGGTCAGTTTTGTGGAAGGAAGCCATAATAAACTAACCTAAACAGATCTGTAATATGGAACATTTTTGCTTTCCCTTTTTTTCACTGTCGAGAAGACGAGAGTAACTAATAAAGGAAATGAGTGAATGACATGGAGAAAAAGAAATTCAAATAAGCTTTTTTATTTTAACACGTGTGCCAGATATAAGCTGCCAAAACTGATGGAAGAAATAGAAATCTGAAGGCTGAATAAATTACAGAAAGAAAACCCTTCCCCCCACCAAAAAAAAAGGATCAGATTCAAGTTACTTCACTAGCAAATTCTTAATATTTCAGACCTAGCAAGAACCTCTCATAAACTCTTTCAAAAAAGGGAATGTTAGGGAGTACTTCCCAACTGGTTCCAGGAAGCCAGTGTTACAGACATCAACACCAGGCCACATACCACAGGAAAGAAAAATACAAACCCATATCCACTGTAAATATAGACACACAAGCCCTCAATGAACTACTGAGTCCAGTAGCATAAAAAAGGTATTCATTTCGGCTGGGCGATGGTGGCACACGCCTTTAATCTCAGCACTCAGGAGGCAGAGGCAGGCGGATCTCTGTGAGTTCAAGGCCAGCCAGGTCTACGGAGCGAGATCCAGGACAGGCACCAAAACTACACAGAGAAACTCTGTCTCAAACAAAACAAAAACAAACAAACAAAAAAGATATTCATTTCAAAGAACTGTGGGCAACTGAGTAAAGCTGGGAGATGTGTCCTTCCCAGGGAGGAGCACACCAATTGTTTGTCCACTGCCAAATGGTCATCCTTGAAAACATACATGCAACACACATACAAGTAACATCGTATGGAATTATATATATGTGTATATACATGTATGTGTATATATATACATATATGTTCCTAAATATGTATATATATACACACACATGTATATATTCCTAAATTTAAGCTGTTGAGTCCATATAATGTCCAATATACAAATACATATATGCATGCATAACAATTAATGAAAAAAGAGGCCATGAATTTGAAGTAGAGTAGGGAGGAGCATATGGGAGCATTTGGAGGGAGGAAAGGGAAAAGAGAAATATAATTAGAATACAATCTCAAAAATAAGCACAAAAAGAATTTCAATTTAAAAATTCAGTTTCTTTTGTCACAAGATAAAAAGTGTTAATTTAAGAGGAATTTTGATGGAATATGAAATTATTTCGCTATTGAGAAAAATCAGTTAATAGACTAGGGGTTATAGAACAACAAAACCCTAAGTCCTTCTAGAGATGGGGCATTTTACAAAATCTAATAACTTTCTCAATAACTGCTCCCCCCCAAAAAAAACCCTAAGAAAGGAAGGGTGCTTTCTCAAACACCCCAACACAGAGTGTCTGTATGATCAGGAACAAGACAAGACAAGAATGTTCAATCTCACAGTGTACTGAAAGATCAAACGAGGATAGATTAAAAAAAAAAGGAGGAAAAACCATCAAACTGAAAAGTAAGAAGTAAAACTATCTCTATTTGTAGATGATTGGTCTTATATATAGAATCCTGAGAAATCTACAAAATAAACCACTATAACTAACAAATTAATTACATAGTACATGATCAATACACAGAAACAAATCTGCTCTATATACTCTAATGAACAACCTAAAAATAAAATTAAGATGGATCCTAGTTATAGTACTGTTAAAAAGAATAGGATACTTACGTGAGGTATACATTTAACAACAACACAAGGTGTTTAGACCGAAATATAAAGTGCAAAAGATCACTAAAGACTTAGCAAAGATTTAAATCAATGGAAAGCTACTCCATTATCACAGAAGGAAATACTTAATAGTTGTTGTTAAGATGACAACACACCTGCATAGTCAATACAATCCTTTTCAGAGCTCCGATGCATATTTCATAGATGTGGAAAAGCTGATCTCAAAAAAATAAAAAATAAGAAAATTCGAAAGATCTAGAAAATCCAGAGTACTCTTGAGAAATAAAGTTGGAGAACTCACACATCCTGGTTTGAAAGCCTGTCATGAAGTTACATTGAGCAATGGAGTGTGATACTAGCATGCTGCTAAGGATGTAAATGTAGAAAAGAATGGAGAGCTCATAAATAAACTCTCATTTGTGGTCAATTGATTTTGGCATGGTTTCCAAGATGACTCAAGGGGGAAAAATCTTTATTAATAAATAGTCTGGAATAACTGACTGCCAAGTATCAATAAATGAAATTGGACTTCCTTTTTATGTAAGAATTAACTTATAGTCATAAACATTATCATATGAGCTGAAACTATAGAATCTTAGGAGAAATAAAATGAGTATTTTTGGGAGGAGGTGACATGGCGGCGGCGCTGCTGCTGGCTTTGAGCTTTGCGCTCCTGGACCACCAAGGCGCCTGCGCGGCGGCGTGTACCATCTTAACCTCCATCAGCGAAGCCGGCTCCAAGACACACTTTACATGCACTCTGAACAGCAGTGCCGTCGACATCCTTGGCCACCGCTGGATGAGAGGTGGCAAGGTACTGCAGGAAGACACGCTACCTGACCTGCAGATGCAGTACTCGGTGGACACAGATGAAAGCGCTGGGGAGTATTCCTGCATCTTCCTTCCTGAGCCCGTGGGGAGGAGCAGCATCTTTGTGGAAGGACCACCCCGGATCAAGGTCGGGAAGAAGTCAGAGCATTCTAGTGAGGGGGAGAACGCGAGATTGATCGGCAAGTCTGACTCATCCCACCCTCCTGTCATTCAGTGGACCTGGTTTAAGACCTCTGACTCTGGGGACCAGGTGATCACCAATGGCTCTGAGAGCAAGTACCTCGTGATATCCACACCGGAGAGATCTGAGCTGATCATCAGAAACCTGGACATAAATAGCGACCCTGGCACCTACATGTGTAACGCCACCAACTCCCAGGGTACTGTCCAGGAGAGGATGACACTGCGTGTGCAAAGCCGTCTGGCCGCCCTCTGGCCCTTCCTGGGCATCGTGGCTGAGGTCTTGGTGTTGGTCACTATCATCTTCATTTATGAGAAGCGACAGAAGCCCGACCAGTCCCTGGACGAGGATGACCCTGGTGCTGCCCCACTGAAGGGCAGCGGCCATCACCTGAACGACAAGGACAAGAACGCCACCTGAATGGTGGAGCAGGCGGGGGTTGGAGCGCACCTGACCCCAGCCCAGCGTCCACCTCCACGCCCATTCCCATCTGTCCCAACCCGGGTGAAGACAGAGCCTCACCGTGCAGAAAGCCCACCTGGAAGAAGCAAGCCGCCCACAGCACCCCTGATTCTAGTTTAAACTAAACGAGGTTTCTATGCAGAGAATCCATTCCTTAGGGGGTTCTATTTGATTTTTTCCCCTTCCCTTTTTTTAAGCTTGTCACTACAACCCTGTGGAGTGGGAGAGTGGGGTCTTGTCCTTGGTCAGGAGGGAGAGGCCAGGACAAGCTCTGACTTCTTGGTGGAGCGGGGCCACCACCTGCTCCCCTGTATGGGACTGCCCATCCTCACCATGGGCAACATGGCTGGGCCTGCTGGGACCACACAAATAAAGACCTACCCAGCCAAAAAAAAAATGAGTATTTTATTTATTTATTTTTATGTGCATGAAGGTATGTATGTGCACCTGAATTCACCTGAACGTATGTATGTGCACCACACACCTGTCTGGTGCCTGAGGAGTCCAGAAGAAGGCATTAGATCCCTGGAACTGGAGTTATGGATGGTTGTGAGTCACCACGTGGGTGCTGAAAATCAGAGCTGTGTCCTCTGCAAGAGCAGCAAGTGCTCTAAACCACTGAGCCTTTTTCCAGCCCCAGAAGGACTATCAATCTCTAGATAGATAGATAGATAGATAGATAGATAGATAGATAGATAGATAGATGGATGGATGGATGGATGGATGGATGGATGGATGGATGGATGGATGGATGGATGGATGGATGAATGGATGGATGGTGGGTGGACGGATGGACAGATAGACAGATAGATAGATAGATGGATACACATACACACATGTTAAGTAAGATTCATAAACGTAAGTGACAAAAGAACAAAATTAATCATGTTTGGCCAGAACTGAAAATTAATTGGCCCAGACTGGTCTCAGACTCACAGTTCTCTTGACATGACTTTGTAGGTGTGTGACCATGCCTAGCTGAAATTGAGAGGTTGTTCTGCAAAGACCTCATCCATTGTCAATACAGACACAAAAGCCTGCAACAAGTTACTGAGTCCAATGGAATAAAAAAAAGTGTTAATTCAAGAAGAATTTCCTAAAGCATATGAAACTATTTTGCAATTGAAAAATCAATTAATAAGGTGAAAAAAGCTACAGAATGAGATTTCAAAATGTTTATAAACCAAAGGTTTGAGCATGACTTGCATTCAGAATAAATATAAAATACAACTCAATATTAAAGAGAGAAACCATTTTTACAACAAAAACCAAAACAGGCAAATAATATTTTCAGACATTTTCCCAAAGATAATGTGTAACTAGCTGACAAATATATGAAAAAAATCATGAGCCATTAAGAGAAATGAAAACCCCCAAAGACATACTACTTCCTACCTCTTAGGATAGCTGTAAACAATAACACAAATAATGACAAGCTTTAGGAAGCATGTAGAAATATTGGACACTCTTGGTTTTTTGTGGCAATGTAAAATGGTGAAGCCACTTTGGCAAACAGGCAGGTAGATGCTCACAATATCAAGCAGTATTCTCCTGACTTAGAACTTAGACTTAGACAGCATCTTTAACAAATGTTGTTGGGAAAAATGGACATTAATCAATTCCAAGTTGATAGATTAGACTGGAAACTCAGAAACTTCCAGAAAAAAGAATAAGGGGTACCCTTCAAGATACAGACCCAGATTAGTGAATCTCTCAAACATCATCAGAGGAGTTTCTTTGTTCAATGGATGATGGTTAATGCAGAAACTCACAGCTGGTCAAAGCGCAGAGACCAAGTGTCAGTGGAATGCTCAGCCACAAATGGGACATCTATATCACGCCCTTCCCCCAAGGCTCAGGGATCTTCATGGAAGAAGGGAAGTAAATATTTTAAGAGCTAGGGGTCTAGGAGGATCAGAACAAAACAGTATCTTCTAGACATGACAAGACCGCTGTACTCAAGAACTCTAAGTACCTGTGGTTGCTTGCCTAAGAGCTGCACAAGATGGAGCCCATCAACAGTCTATGGTGGAGTAGAAAGGAGTTTACTCCTAATTGCAGAGCTGTGGGAAGCTGATGATTGCTGAGGGAGTGTCAGTTTTCTTTATGGGTGTGGCTCCTGGAAGGCTGACCACTCTCCAGTGGAAGGTCCCACACCTATGAGTACATGAACAGCACAAAATTAGAGTCAATGGGTTATGCTTTTAAAAATGGATATAAAGTTGGGGGTGGTAGGGACTTGGGGTGGACCAGGGAGGAGTTGACGGGAGGAGTTGGTGTGAATATGATCAAAATACAGTGTATGGATTTCTCAAAGAATTAATAAAATATTTTAAATTTAAAAAGAAATTCTTAGGCATATGTCTGAAAGAAATGAAAATGTATGTTTATATAAAATGTACATGAATGTTAATAACATCTTTCATAATAGAACAGAGGCTTACCCAAATGTACATTAACGGATGAATGGATAAAATGTGATAGATTCACATAATAGAATACTATTCAGTCATAAACAAAATGAAGGTCTAATAATATGCTAAACATGGTGAACTCTGAAGACTTTGTGCTGAGTGAAGGACATAAAAGGCCATATACTATATAAAACATGTACCAAAGATGTTTAGAATAAGCAAATCCAGAGATACAGAAAAATAAATGACTAATCGTCAGTGACTGGAAGGGGGAGAAATTAGGGGCTGAATGGTAATTGATATGAAATGTACTGAGGGATTAAAATAAAGGAGCCTAAACTAGGCAGTGGTGGTAGCTACACAACAATTTGCGTATGATAACCACCGAGTTTCATGCTCTCAAAAGGTGATTTATGGTATGCAAATAATATCTCCAAATTATTGTATAAAATGTCTGTCCTCTTTCTGTTTTGCTTCTCTATCATGCTGGACCTTAAATGTGAATTTCTTGAATTATTCCATGTTCCATAATGACTACTCCATTAAGGAGCTTTTTCTCCTCCTCCTCTTCCTCCTTCCTCAAGTGCTTACTCCTAATAGTTGGAGGAAACTCAAGTTCCTCTCTACTCAGTGGTAAATATCACAAACCTTGTCCTCATGAAGCGGTGCTTGCTCCTGTCCCTTGATCGGTCCTAATAGGCTAACAGGCTTTCAAGGACTGGAACATGTGCTTGAATGTCACACACATGGCAGAGTGACATTCAAAGGCGAGAACGTGAAGATGACTCAACACAAGTGGGAACAGCAGCATGAATATCATCCTCCTAAGCTGGTGTCATCCTGGGTGGCACCTAAGCTGTGGTGGATGCGGGAGAGCATGGGTTGCTATGTGGTTGGGGGGTGGGGGTGTGAAATGTAAGAGAGAGATAAACTCAGAAGCTCTGGAACCCCCAGAAGAAGAATCACAGCCATATTTTGTCTACATTTCCATTTTGGTAGGAAGAGATGGTTCAGATTTTTAAAAAGAAAAGGAAAAGAAATTTCTCTCTTGAAATTATTTGTATTCGAAGCCTGAAGCAAAGCAGCCAGAAGTAAGACAGAATTTCAAGCTGCATCTCAACCATCTCATATTCATTCCAAATCATGAATGGAACACGTAAGACCTCTCAGAATGAAAACAACTGACTGAGGTAGTCTCTCCTAATGGGATGACTGCATTTCATAAGCAAGTTGGGCTTATGCTCTCCCAGTTCCTGAGCTTGTAAATGCCAGGAACACTGCATCACCTCCCTCATGACATTTCACAAAGCTCTCAGAAAGGAGAGCTTAAAGAAACAGAGAAAAATAAAGCACAAAGTCTGTATGGCTTTCTGCTCATTGCCAAGTAACCCAGAGAGCTCTTTAATTATTTAAGACTTTGCTCAGTGTAAATGTGTATATGAATTTGTATGTGTGTATATGTATTTAGCGCATAGGCATGACATACATATATTCTAAATTGAATATATATATATTATATATATATATATATATAATATATATATACTAGATTGAATCATTTGGATTTGTTGATATTTGTCCATTTTAACTTAGAAAATATTTTCATATGGCTCAATTCAAAATTCCTACACAATCTGAAAGTTTGCATGAGGTGAGTCTGAAAATTTGATAATTCCAAACAAGTACCCAAGAAGTTAGATTTCCACATTTCTCACAGTGAAGCTGCTCATGGTAAAACATTTGTCCTGTTTGGTATACTTTCCTATTGTTAGATCATCTCAGCCAGTCACAGGCATGTGATTTCAAGGGCTGTTTTAGATTTATTACCATTTCAGAAAGTGGCAAGGCTGTGAGAAAGAGAAGAGTTATGAGTAGTGATAAAATGGTTTAAGTAATGATTTTCTTTTACATACATTTTAAAAAGGGGTAAAATCAAGTCACATATGATAACAAGGTACACATACCCGCAATTCCAGCCCTTGGGAGGCTGAGGCAAAAGGAGCATGAATTTGATGACAGCCTTGGTTACATAGTGAGACTCCCATCTAAAAAAAATCTGTAAAATAAAACTCTTGTATAAATATACAATGAACACACATTATATTTTTAAGTTAAATTTATTATTTGACTGTAGCTGGAGTTATCTCCAGGCCCGCCTGGGCCCGCAGCCACTCAGACCCAAATAAATACTGATAGGCTAATGTTATTTAAAACTGCTCAGCCATTAGCTCAGGCCTACCACTGACTAGCTCTTATACTTAAACTCAACCCATTTCTGTTAATCTATATGTCTCCACGTGTTACATGGCTTTACCTGTTGCCTTTACATGCTGCTCCCTAGACGGCAGGCTGGCCTCTCCTGACTCAGCCTTCCTGTTCCCAGAATTCTCCTCTCTTTTTGTCCTGCCTATACTTCCTGCTTGGCTACTGGCCAATCAACACTTTATTTATTAACCAATCAGAGCAACACATTTACAGCATACAGATATCCACAGCATTTAACAATGTCACCAATCTACATAACACATTCTGATTGCTCTCACC